TAAAACCACCTATTTACATGGTAATAAGACTGGTGTATCACGCATTTTGTCTTTGAATTACTCAAAGTAAGGTCGATTTCCTGTCTCTCTTACCGGGCTGTCCCTCCATTTGAGGCTGCCACTAAAGAACCTTTCTTTCCCATCGGTTATCGGTTTTTCAAGCTACTTAGCCGGCTCCTTGTTAGTTTATCTCACTGATAGGTACGTCGGGCTATGTTGGTTGCTCCAAATCTACTGCTGAGACAAATTTCATAGTTCATCAGGCTGAGAAACTCCAAGCATAGAGGTCTATGCTCGGATAATATATATAGTTCACCATAGTTCGCTAAGCGAACTTTGAGCTTTCTCGAACGGCCAACAGTGAAAGACCATGTCTCAGATCAAAATATCATTACTCACACACACTGGTTGTACAATCTTCTTTTTATTTATGAGGTATACTCGACGAAAAAATGTGTTAATCTCCCGAACGTTGTTCAGCCGAGGTGGATCCGTAGATTGATCTCTCAGTCGAAGTAGGATTTACCTAGTCGTTCAATTTGTCTTATGTACTCACTCCAACTCACGCTGAAATCGCAGTTGCATTCTGCAGGCGGCCGCCGTGGTTGGCACTATAGGTCAGCCGATTGGAATGGGATGCGGTCTTTCTTTGCATCCTACCCTTGGGGGCGGGTTTGCTTCTCGCCGGACGATCCCAACGTTGTTGCGGATTCTGTCGCTGATGTGGTACTTCAGGATATTATAGGTCCTATTCTTTCAAACCTCAAAAATCTATCGTTCACACAGGGTAAGTTTCCCGAGAAGCTATAAACTTCGATTGTGAAACCGCTCTATAAAAAAGGTGATCATCACGAATTAACCAATTATAGACACTAATACCAATTTTTTCGAAAATATTTGAGAAGGCGATGCATAGTAGAATTTACAATTACTTGTCTAAATATAATATTCTCCGTAAAGAACAGAACGGATTCCAAAAAGGAAAATCCACAACCCATGCCACATTTTCTTCAATACATAGAGTAACTGATTACAGAAACAATAAAGTACCAGTGGTTGCTATATTTTATGACATGTCAAAGGCATTTGATTGTGTTGATCACATTATTCTAATAGATAAGTGTGTAAAATATGGAATTCGTGGACCAGCATTAAATTGTTTAAAATCGTATTTAGAAAATCGACAACAATCTGTTGAAGTGACACGAATTGATGAAAAGTATAACCGCACGTCATTTAGATATTCTTTTACTCACAATAAAAATGGTGTACCACAGGACAGTGTATTGGGTCCACTTTAATTTCTATTATATATAAATGACTTACCGACCGACACCTCATTAGTCTATTCTTTTTGCTGATGATATTTCTGTTGTCATACCAAAACTAAATAAAGAATTTACCGCAAGTCACTTCGAAATACCGTTAAATTCTTCTATAGAATCCATAATTACCTGGTTAGAAACCAATAATCTGCGTACAAATGTTTCAAAAAACAAAATTCATAACGTTTTCCAATTACAATACACCAAATGAAAAACTAAATATTTCATAAAATAATGAATATTTGAAAGAGGTTTAGAAATACAATTTTTAGGTTTACATGTTGATAACCATTGCAACTGGAAGTCACATGTGAAAAATGTTTGCACCAAATTAAATAAATTTGTGTATGCACTGCGTAGAATACAGTGCGTCGCTGGTAAAGGAGCTGCGCTTACTTCATACTACGGATACATTGAATCTGTGTTGAGGTATGGTCTGTTGGTATGGGGAAACTCGACTGATATAAACAAGGCATTTATCAGTCAAAAGAAATGTATAGGTACGAGCTTTATGCAACGTCGGGCCCCTTGAATCATGTAGATCTTTATTTAAGAATAACAATTTGCTAACGCTGACTGGACTGCATATATTAGAGGTGTGTATATTTGTCAGAAAAAAATCAGTGTTTATTTCATAGCGCTCGCGACAATTCTATTATAGATAAAAGGGACCCAACTAGATTGTTAATGCCTGCCTGCAGGACAGCTTTGTTTCATAAAAATTGTTACGTAATGTGTATAAAAGTTTTTAATAAGATACCTAAAGCGATTAGAGAGATTAGAGAGAGAGACCAACAATGTGAATGAAAACTTACCTAAAAAATGGCTCATCCAGAAATCTTTTTACACAAGTAAAGACTTCTTTGCAGATAAGTAGACGATACATTTTAGAATTTGACACAATGTTTAAATTATGTCATTTTTATAAATTAAAAATTTTATTTATTTATATAATAAATTTGATAATATTGAAATAAATTAATGACAATTCGATATGTACATTTATAATTGACATTATATTAACTGACATAAAAACATTTATATTTGACATTGAGTAATGTCAAAAAATTTTGTGTTGTTAAAAATCGATAAATATTGTTGTATAAGTTACGGGTACTTGACTATTAATACTTGCACACCACTGAGGTAGAATATGTAGAACAAATTATACTCGAACACCATTGTACAACCATATTCTTGCAAATAAAGATTATTATTACTTTTGGGGTATCCATATAATTTTCTCAACTGGTTGGATTCTATAAATATATAATTTTAAATTAAAATCAAAAGATAAACATAGATAAATATCAATAAAATAATATAAATACAAAATATACATAAATAAATAAGATCCAACCAGATGGAAGCCCTCGGCAGGGGAGACCAAACGGCCGAGGGTTAGGAGGAAAGGGAAAGAAACCGGCGGACGATGCGGGCGGTATCGAGGAGCACCGCCTTTTGCATTTGAGCTCGGAGCGGTCCGTCACGGAGTCCCAGTCGCCTCAGATGACCTGAGAGGCTGACTGGGATTAGCCCAGACTGGGACGAGCCTGGCGCGGTCGTTTTCGAGCACGGCTTCCGGCAAGTACATGTAATACGCCAATTTCCAGTCCACGAGACCGTATTTCAGAGCGAGCTCCTGGTGTAGAATTCTGGCTACTAGGGTATGCCTGTGCAAGTACTCAGAGTTAGAAAGCGGCGAACAACCGGAGATGACATGCCTAAGTGACTCACCGGGATGGCGACAAGCTCAACAGACGTCGACGGTGCCATCCTTTAGGATGTATCTCCGATAGTTGTTGGTCTTAATAACCTGATCCTGTATTGCACAGACAAAACCCTCGGTTTCCCCGAAAAGGTCACCGAAACGTAGCCAGTTGAGGGAGGCGACTGTATCTACGAAGGGCTCATGTAGAGCCCTGTAGTACCTCCCATGGAGCTCCTTCTCCTTCCATACGGTCTCCCGGTCGGAAATGCTTTGTACTGCCGGGTCCTGCCATTGCTCATTGGCTAAGGATAGAGAGGTAAGCCCTTTATCACTAGAAATGACGTTATTATAGAATGGATCATCCGATCTCGCCAGGAAGTAATCACGGAGGCTGCACACTTCACGATTATGCATGGTAAGTGCGCTCAGGAAGTCACGCCCACCATGCTTTCGCGGCAAGTATAGCCTCATTACCGACGATCTCGGATGATGCATCCTATGGGACGTCATGGTAATGCGGACTTTTCTATCCAGGGCATTAAGTTCAGTTTGAGTCCACCTGAGTATCCAAAGGTATACATGAGGACAGGCGTGACCCAGCCGTTATATGCGTGTTCCTTATTTACACCGGACAAAAGGCTGTTAAGCACTTTGGTCAAGCGTGCATAAAACGTGTCGCAAACTGATTGTTTCATACCAGCCTCATCGATACTGATGTTCTGTGAAACACCCAGGTATCGGTATGTTTCAGCCTCGGAAAGGGTCCTTAAGTTGACAGGCATAGATAAGTCTATGCCCTCAGAGTTAGCACCCTTCCCCTTTCAATATGGAGGACCACACAAGTGATGTTTAGCAATTCCATAAGATGGGAGCGCCTGGAGACGAATAATTTGAGGTCATCCATATAGAAAAGGTGGGTCACTTTTGTACCTCCTCTCCGAAACAGAAATCTCCTCCCGGAGCCCTCCAATAAAGTACTGAGAGGGTTCAAAGAGAGGCAGAACCAGATTGGACTCAGACAGTCGCCCTGGAATATACCCCTTCTTATCTTTATGCGGCTTTCCGCAGCCGTCATACGCTCGCCTAGATGACAGAGGATCGTACTTCATTGCCCCATACACTGCCCGAGGAAATCTCGAACTGTCAATCAATCTACAGTCAGTCTTGTACAGCTCGAAGACCCTCTTTAGCCATGTATGGGGCACCGAGTCAAATGCCTTTCTGTATCCAGGCAGCGGAGAAGTTCCGGCGGTTGCGTTTCACCACATTGCCAATGACCGCGTCAATGAGGAGTGGTTCCTTGGTTCCACGAACGCCGCCCAGACATCCATTTTGAGCGCGCGACATCACCTGATTTGAGTCCAGGTGACGAGTGATTCTCCCGCTCAAAATGGATGTTAGTGTCTTGTATATGGTCTTTATTGTCTCTCTTATTGTCTTGTATTGGTCAAGCCCCGGACTTTTCCAGTTCGGGGCCCTACGGACCGCCTCAGCTACGTCATCCGGCGTTATGATGACGGGGTCTATGGGCGTTATGCCCGCACACTGACTCGCCACAACTTCCGTCCAAGGGCCTTCACTGTGGTTTACGGGCTCTGACCACAGGCTGCTCCAGAATGCGACCGTGTCGGCTTGATACGGTGCTGGGCCTGTTCCACTTACCATTGGTCGCTCCAATGATTTATAAAGCCTCTTCTGATCACTCTGGAAGAGAAGATTCTGGTTGAACCGTGTCGATCTCTCGGTATATCGCCGAATCCGCTTTCCCCAAGCAGCGATTCTCTGCTTCAGGTCGTCTATGCGCTCCGTCAGTTTTTGCATTATATCCGGCTGGGACAAACTAACATTTGTCCCAGCAAACGCCATCCTGACGGTGCGCACAATCCTTGGCCTGGTATTGCCTGACCTGAAGCATGTCAGTGTGCCCATGAGGGCCCTAGCCTTTGCGATACGTTCTTCAATTCTTATTCTCCAGGCTGGGATAGCACTACTTTGTCCATTAGCGGTCCAGAGTGGAGAGTTTGGCGCCTATAATACGGCAGACTGTCAGTGCGGTGCCAAAAATAATTGAGTCCGTCTCGCAAAGGTCCCGGCAGCATTGGGGTTAGAGGCTTGACGACAGCCTGATTCCGCTTGCTTAGGGATATGCGGGGAATTTGCGGTCGATTTTCGAGAGGCGTACTGCGCGTTTCCACAATCGCCTCTTCCAATGTACTCCTCATTTGCTCTGGTTCGAGTTCCTGGGCGATTGTTCCATCATCGTTTGAATCAACCACAACCTTGGTATCCACGGCGGCATCCACGTTAGCCGTTGGCTCTGCAATTTGTGGCGCCGCATCCTCAGTCGTAGCATTTTCACCCGATGAAGGAACAGCCTCACGTCGTAGCCGTTCAAGTTCGGCAACATCAAATATATTTGAGCGCAAGATATACCGAACTCGGTCTGCCAGGTTTTGATCGGTGACGGTTATAGATGGCTCCAACTCAGCAAAAAGACGGTGCATCCTAGCCCGATATGCCAACCTCCAACTTCTCCCCCCTTTCGCCCTAAAACACGCCCGCAGTGCGTTGGTATTTATTTTGATTGTCCATCGCATGCGGCGTACTCCACCAGTGGCGGGTGCCGATTGCTGGGCCTGCGAAGACCCTGCCGACACCAAGCCAGATGGTGGGGATGATGGAAGCGAGGGTCTGATGGGTGGTCGTGCAGCACCTCTCGCTCGGCTGGCGGTTCGCATGCAGTCGCGTCCAGGGCCAGCTCCAGACGCGCCTTGGCGACTTCCAGGTAGCGGCCCCTTGCGCGTTCTTCCGTATTCCATCATCCATATAAGTTATTATTATTATTATTATTATTATCGTATGTAGATATATTACCTGCATATATTATACTTAATAACTGGCCCGGGAAACGTCGTTATTCCTTTCCAAGTGGATGACGCGATAACTTTTTCTTCAAATTGACTTTTACAGTTTAAATAAAAAATGTATTAACCATCGTAGCGCCACCTATCGGGTCCACATTGAGTAATTTTCTTTTCTTGCACTAAAGCAAGGAATCAAAATGCAGATGCGTTGTCAACCTTGAGGACTAAGAGGGAACGCCTCGTACCCAGTATAAGTATCTCCGGTTCACTACATACACCATTCGAAACACAGCAGCATTAAGCTGCTATTTTACGCTGGTATTCTGTGAGAACATGATCCTTCCTCGGTTGAGCTGTTCCATTCAAGCTGCAACCATAATATAGCTACAGCATGGCTCTACCTATTACAAAGTATAGTAGATCACAGTTTATTAGCGGCACAAAAAAGTTTTTGGGTTAAAACACCGTAGGGATTCCAAGAAATCCTTTCTCGTTTCACTATTTCTGAGGCCCATAAATTCAACGGTTAATGTTGTTTGAACTAATGACTCAGTGTGGGACCAGTGAATTAGAGCACGACCCTTAATTTAATGTAATAGTTTTGCAGTAACGTGTATATATTAACTTCTACCATGTTTTTATTATTTTAACAAGGAACATAATTAAAAGTTAATCGGGCGTTATTTTGCGTAAATCCACTTTATTAAAGTTGGTAAAAATTAATTTACTCATATTCACGTTTTTTTTATAGAATAAGGGTGACAAACGAGCATACGTCTGATGGTAAGTAGATGTTGTGGCCCATAGATACTTGCAGTAAAAAAAGGGTCTCCGGATCTCTACACTCACCATACAAAACACAGCGGTATTAAGCTGCATTTTACGCTGGTATTCTGCGAGAGCGTGGTCCCTCACCGTTCCAGCCGACCCATTAGTGCTACAACTATAATATATCTGCAGCGTGGCTCTACCACCTATAAAATTAAATAAAATGGTGTATCTTACCTAGTTTCATGAGCAACTCCCGTCCTCCCTCAATTGCGTGCACTATTCCCGTCACCACTAATCCCAGTACCACTACTCGCAATACCACTAAACTAGGAAAACACATCACCGTCGATAATACTATACGTGATTCACCTTTACGCAAGGCATCCTCTGGTGAAGTAGACTTTGCGGTGGCAGATCACTTAGCGGTTAATTTTTACCCAAAAAAAGATTTTAATTAAAAAAAAGAATATCACATTGCTCATCTGTTAGTCTTTTTTTTGCTTTCTGTTTGTTCTCGCATCCCTTTAAAATAGCTGCATCAAATTTGATGACATTTAACACAATTGTGAACTTCTTTTTCTTCATCAAAAGGTTAAATTCCACTGCTGAACAAGGGTCTTGTACGTGTACAGGACACTTGATGAAGTCGATGTATGCAGCTAGTTCAGGAGCGTATTTTGTAGCAGAGCACTGTAGTCATGACTGTACTATTACCTATGGTTTATGTAAACACCCCTAGTCAAATGTGTCTAAAAATGGGCACGTGTTCTCATATGCAGATGACACTGTATATGAGAACTGTGAGCGAAGCTGGTAAGATGTTCGACATAACGGTGTAGTCGGGTCAGCCAAGGTTTCAGACTGGTTAAGGTAATGTGTTATAGTTAAAATCACAGCAATGTGACCTATCTACCATCAAAGTGCACTGTACGCCGAAGTGCTGTGCATATAGAATGGTAATTAATTTTCATTATGGTAACATTGTGTGGAATATCACATGGAAACCCAAATTAACTAGCCAGTTAATACGCATGTATCAGAGCGTTAGTATTGAGTTTTTGATATATTTTATAATGATAGGAATGCTTATGTCGCAGTCTGATTGTTAGAATAGAGCAGATCGTAATCTAGGCATTTAATAATGCCATTTAATGATTTGTTGCAGAGTGGTTAAGGTAGTGAGGTAAGAATACATTTAATAACTCTCAATGTAACTAAGGCAAACTTTTTATGTTTTACAAATTACAGTAGAACTCAACTTAATATTAATATTCAAATTCATTCTTGTGTTGATCTTAATAATTCTAACTACTCATGTCCTCATTTAAAATAAAGTATCCAGCAAAAATATCTTACATACTGAAATTTTAATAAAAACCATTAGAAAATTCATATGGTTATGAATACAGTACAACTCAAAGTACCGGGGAATTTGATACATATGCTACCAACGCATATGTCAAGCGATTGCGGCAATTTTTCAGAAAGAGGGCTGTATGAGTAATTTAGTTAGTTAGTTGGTATTTCCCTCTTACCGAAAAATATAATGGAATAGAATAAATTTTGTTTAATATATATTACAAGAATACTCATCTACGCTTTTATCTTTGCCGCCTAGCAGCAGCGCGTGCACTTCTGTGTTAAGGTGTGAAAGGCATGGGGAATAAGTGTACTTACAGGTATTCTACATATCTCATTCCTTAAATGTGACAATGTATCTAAAGCTTTCTTCTTTTGAAATTATTTCCAGGTGTCTACGAATGCAGTAGAATTATAATTTCGTATATCACTTTTATTTTATACAAAATAAAAACATCATCATCATCATCATTACAGCCCTTCACAAGTCCACTGCTGAACATAGGCCGCCCCCAAGTAATGCCACAAAGCATGGTCCTGAGCCACCTGCATCCATCGACTTCCTGCATGTCTTACCAGGTCGTCACTCCACCTAGTGGGGGGTCGCCCTACTTTTTTTTTTTTTTGGCCTTTTTTTTTACTTTTTGGTTTTAAAGGGGTTGGTGCTTTTTTTTTTTTTTTCCTTGTCCTTAAGCCCTCCTATTCGTGATACTACGAGCAACGTGGCTCTACCTCGTACAGTATCTCCCATCAACAATAAATTAAGTTAACAATGACTTAAGGTCATACTTTGTGACATTCCTCGAGCAAGAACTTTATTTAGCAGTGACTTACGGCTTTAACGACTATGAAGTCAAAAATAATTTAATTAACATTAAGTAAACCGGAATTCTGATTAGACGATCTTATGTTAACATTGAAACTTAGGCAATATTTGTCTTAATGTCAGAGTTTTTACCGTTGTCCGTAAAGGTTTTCTCCAAGAAACATATATTTCTCCATTGAGACCACTAAATTTTGTACTTAATTTTCTGTAAAGGTAAAACTAGAAGCTAACGATGGGAAAAAATTAAGTCGAATAATCCTTGTTAATTGTTAAATAATGCACATCATTATTGTAATTAGAATTAAGTTAAAGTTTAAACAAACTTTTGTTTTATTACGCATTTGTTGTTCCTGAAATAAAAATATTTTTTAAAGAAAAAAGGTGAAAAACAAGGCCACGGTCCATCTTCTGGATGGTGGTGAGTGGATGCTGTGGTAAATAGACATCAATATGCACCCCCGGTTAAGAATAGAAGTGTAGATGCATCACGTGTTGTCACGTTTGAGGACTTACTTGCCCCATTGGAAACGATCGTAACGTACAACTCGTAGCACGAAATTCTAGCGGTGACCGTTATTGCGCATAATTGGCCGTTTTGCGCATTATTGCGTATCGTTCGCACGCGCTGATTGGTTCTCCAGACGCATTCCGTCCCCCGTTAAGATACGTCATTCGCAGCTATCCACGATTCGTTCAGCGCTAAAGTTACGTGCCGCGAGTTATAACGTGAAAAGCGTATCAAGTTCTCTACACTCACCGTACAAACATCAGTATTACGCTGGTATTCTGTAAAAATGTCGGCTTTCTCTATTTGAGCCGTTCGTACTACAACTATATATAGCGGTAGCATGGCTGGCTCTACCATATGACTACTTAAAAATAAACAAACCCCTTAAAAATAAAAAAATCTAAAGTGAAATTAACTTTATATTTAATTTCAAAAAGTGAAATGAATTTTGAAAAACGTTTAATTACTTTAAGTTATATAAAGACATGAAACATGAAGGTATAAATTCAAGTGATCCTCATCATTATCATTTAAAGTTAAAAGTAAAGTTACAGCCTATATACGTCCCACTGCTGGGCTCAGGCCTCCCCCTCATTTCTGAGAGCGTTTATGGCAAGGAAGTGTCCGCCGCGCTGCCCAAATGCGTGTTGACGAACTTCACATGTCTTCGAAATATTTTTTTTTCTTATTCCTCAGACATGCAGGTTTCCTCACGATGTTTTCCTTCACCGCCGAGCACGTGGTAAATCAGCACTTAAAATTGCAATTAACAATTTCATTGGTGCCGGCGGGGATCGAACCCGGGTTACTCGCGTTCTGTTGTATTTACAGCGAGCGTTAACCACTGAGCTACCACGGCTCTATTATCATTTCTTCATTATAAACTATCAAAAGTCCATTGCTGGACATAGACCTATTGAATGTCTCATGGGGCGATCTATGCCACAATTTTCACTGCCCATCTCCTCTTTTAGTTTCCCTATGTCTCATCTTACGGCACCCAAGGAATGACAGTGGGTTCCCTTTTGCCATTGCACGGAACGGCATCCACTCGATATGGAAAGCCGGTAATTCTGCTTCTTGTCTGTCTTTTATATGGACTTTGTAGCTCAGGAGTCCTGTTCGACCAATCGATTACACTACCAAAAAAATCATCATATTATAAAAGAATCTAAA